CCGCCTCCTTCAACTTCTTGGGGGATGTACCCGAGTTCAAATTGCTTGTCTCAGACGCATCAGACAATTCAGACCACTGTAGCTCATCACCATCATGACTTCTCTTACTTGCCCTGGTTGAAATAAAGTCTGCACTCAAGTGAGAATACAATTCCTGTCCATTTTGATCTAAATTGATAATTTGAGATTCATTATCCTCTACATCAACTTCTTCAGTGTTTTCTGGTCCAACGCCGTGAGATTGAGAACAATTACTGTCTCTTCCATTACTTGATTCATCTGATGATGAGTCTTCAGATGGCACTACGTCATGAACAGGTGTTTCCTTACTTTGGTCGGAGTCTGAGTTGTGTGACATGTCAGCGTCAGCTTCAGCACTTTTCTTCTCCCTCTTGTTTACATAATGTCGATTGCCATTCTTAATTGTATACAATTTTTTTCCTTTCCTGGCCTGCCTTTGTTGACTACGCTTTTCTCTTAGAGCCTTAAGTACTTCCGCTGGCTGTTCCTTTTTCTTCAGTTCAGCTCTAAGGTAAGACGAATATTGTTCCACAACACGTTTCACCATCCGGTCACTGATGGGGTTCTTGGGTTTCTCATTTTTTGTCCATTGCATGGACAAAAGAATGTCTATAGGTGGCAGGGAATAGCAGAATTATAACAATGAAAGAAAAGCAAAACATTAATGTCGAAGCCAAAAAGTGACAGCAATAAGCTTACTTGCCAGGCACGCAATGGCATCATCAGTAATAAGAATAGCCTCTGTATTGGAAGCATTCTTTTTGGAGAACAAGAGATGTACTTTTTTAGGGTACATGAGATCAACTAATTTTTTAACCCGCCCAGGGAAGGTAAAAACCTTTCTCTGAACAGATAAAACCTCTCTCATTGGCAAAGGTTTTTGATCTTCACCCATGTATATCTGAAATCAAAATAAAGTAAATTAAAACCAACATTATCATGGGTAATTTTATAGTGCACATAAGTTACAGCATGTGTCTGTACCATATCAGGATCAAGAGGTACAGGAGATGCTTTCTCAGGGTCAAGAGCATTCTTAAGATTTTTTAGTTCACAGCCCCCGGCACCAGGGGCTCCTGCTTTGCTACTGTTACCTAGGTGGAAAAATTATACAAAACTTAAAATAGAGGATAACATTTTGGTGGGTGCTTAGATATATATTCAATAAGGGTTACTGTGACAGAGTTAACACATCAGTAGATTAGATTGAACAAATGAAAGAAAAAAAAACTTGTGTCATAGCTTCATACTTGTACAGGCTTTTAACACTGAAAAGTTAGAGCATAAGATTTCTATAAGCAGGAAAACGATGAGAAGATGAAGAGAGGTCTATAGATTGGAATTAAGTTTCAGTTAAACTATGATAAAGAAATCTTTTTCATAGATTAACACCATACAGATTTATAAGATTTAACCAAATGAATGGAAATTAAAAAGCAAGTTCAATAATTTTTTCCATATTACTAACATAATAATCCACTTTCCCCTCTCTCAACTTTCCTTTAAACACAGAAGCATATTTAGGAACATCCTTCAAATACTAACTTGAAACAATAGCTTTAACCTGGGAAAGAAGCTGCTCACTCAATTTAGACGATATATCCTGGACCAATTCTTCCTTATTTAGGCTAACTTGCTGCAGGAGCTTCTCTGCGGCCTCCTTCTCACGACGCATGTTC